CTAACGCGTTCAGCTCTGCCACCCTACTCTTCTCCTTCTTGTCCTCCTGCTTGAATTTCTCCGCATCGGCCAGCATTCGCTCTATCTCCTCCGCCGACAGACGACCCCTGTAGTTGGCAATAGTCATGCTTCTCTGCTTCCCTGTCGACGTTTCCACCGACGACACATGGAGAATGCCGTTTTCGTCAATTTCAAAGGTATTTTCGAACTTAACCTTACCACGTGGTGCTTCTAGGAAATCCCTTAACAAAAACTCCTCTAAAATGTTGTTGTCACTCGCCTTCGCACATTCGCCTTCAAAAATCCTATTGAGCAAATGCGTTTGATTATCTGCAGCTGTTGTGTTAATCACTGTCCGCTTCGTTGGAATTCGCCTGTTTCGCTTTATCACAATTGCCATCATACCACCTGCCTTCTCCCATCCCAATAACAGTGGCGTAACTTCCAGCAACATCAAATCCTGCATTAAATTCTACATACCGCCACTCAGCTTGGCTCCCAGCGCCGCCGCGCCGTTCACCACTGCCTCCTCTGGGTTGATGGACCTTTTTAATTCTCTACCATTGAAGAATTCCTGCAACATGCTCTGCACCTTCGGAATAGGCGTCGATCCACCCACCAGCAATATCTCGTGGATGTCACCCTTGTCCATCTTCGCATCACTCAACGCCGTCTTCACAGCATCTATCGTCTGACTGAAGATGTCCGAGAACAACTCCTCAAATACGGTTCGTGTGAGGGTTGTCCTAAAATTAATGCCCTCAAACAGCGATACTATGCCTATGTTGGTGTGCTCGGCCGAGCTCAACATCCTCTTTGCCTGCTTGCATGAAAATCCCACACGGCCGATGGCTGTCATGCGAGTGGTCAAATCCTTACCTTCGTGCGCCTGCTTGAACGTCTCCACACAGTGATCCACCAGTCGAGAATTGATGTCCTCACCACCCAGGTGCGTGTCACCACCGACCGCCTTCACATCAAATTTACCATTCTCCATAGACATGATGGACACGTCGAGGGTGCCACCTCCCCAATCTAAGATGAGCACATTGCGTTGCCTGTCGCTCCACTTGTCCATGCCGTATGCAATGGCAGCAGCCGTCGGCTCATTGAAAAGACGCAGCACGTTCGAACCGGCTATCTTCGCTGCGTCTATAGTGGCCTGTCTTTGGCTCACATTGAAGTACGCTGGCACAGTGATCACTGCATCTGTGACCTTCTCGCCCAAGAAAGTCTCCGCTGTCTGCTTCATCTTTGACAGCACCATGGCCGAGATCTGCTCAGCGACGAATTGCTTTGCTTCACCGCAGTGCTGCGCTTCAATTTTTGGGTTCCTTTCTGAATTTATAACTTTGAAGGGCCAGTGTTTTATGTCGCTCTACACAGCCTCATTGCCAAAACTGCATCCGATCAGACGCTTTACACCGAACACTGTATTGGCGGGGTTCATAGCGGCTTCACCGATGAGGCGTTCTTTGTAGGCGAAGGCAACACAAGTTGGCGTTACGCTATTGCCTTGATCGTTGGCTATGATCTCTACCCTGCCGCATTGGAAAACACTGACACAAGAGAAGGTCATTCCCAAATCAATGCCGATAGCAGGACGTGTCAACATGGCCTCGTGTGATGCACAAATGCTAACATGTTGTGTCGAATAATGATAACCACTACACTTGCTGCATCCCTTTATGCTAACTGCAGCTGATCCTGCTGAACCTAAGCTTGATGCGCGCTAACTGCTAGAATTCGTTTATCCAACCAGGAGCTGCTAGTGTTGCATACTTCTCCTCAATAACTGGCGACTGTGCACTTGAAAGCGGAGACGCACGATGCAGGCTCAGGCTCGCACACGCCTGGCAGTAAGCGGCAGTGTGAGCAGTGGTGCCGTCTCCGTGTTGCCGAGTTGGTGGCAGATAAGTGGCAGTGGGGAAGTGCCAACATAGCGACTCATGACTAGTAAAACTGTGAGGCCTAATAGGCCTAAGTGATGCGACAGGAAAGTATTGCCGTAGTGTAGTCACCATCCTTAAGGCCCATGCAGACTCCAGCATAAGTAATCGAGATGGAATCCGCATCGTGCTGCAAGGCTGCGTTACTCCTCGAGGTTACCAAGTGTATCTTCTCTCAGGCCAATAATTTTATTTGTGAAATGTACTAAAGAGTGAGTGTTGCTAGCCACAGTCAAGAACTATGGCTTTAAAAAGCATCTGCATGGAATTCAATTGAAATGAGTCGATGCTTCAGCCTTTAATTGCATTTGGTATTGTTTGTGGCACCTAACTATAAACGTGTTTATCAAGTTTCATCGTGGAGATCGCCAAATCATTCCACATTAGAGAAAATTATGAGAGCTGAATACATGTTTATACTAGTTGGCACACACTTCACATAGAAATGGCATAACAAATGACCTGCGTGCATGAACTCGGAGGCAGTTTGTCGTCAGCTCTACGACATCTCGAGAAGCATGCTCTATTCCCCTGACTTTTGGTTGCTACATGTTTATAGAACGACTAGAATGGTTATGACAAGGCAAGGATCAGTTAGTGTGCTGCTTCTCTTAACAGCATGTACGACCTCTCCACTAGCAGCGATCTACTTCGCCTTTCTATGCACTACTGCTGCAAACAAAGAATACAACACCATTTACCACCGCCTTCTGAGGGACAACTCTTTCTTTCCGCTTAACATCATTACGTATATGCTGGAATGCAACATGCCCATTTCTAAACAATTTTCAACTACCTTTTGGAAAATCTCAGCCTCAAAGCTGTTATTAATTCATTGACCCTCACACAAAACGTGGCTGCAAAGAGTCGGAGAGCGCGATGCATGCATGCACATAAAAACGATTTCATATTCAGTAGTTGAGACATCTTTAATAAGAAAAGCCCCATCAACCACAAATAATCGGGATACGAAGAAGTGAATCTCAATGTTAAATAGCGCCGATGGCCCACCACCTCGCAGTTTCGGTCTTAACTGATGAGGCAGCTCTCACCTCCGCCGGAGCCTCTGGACATCGGCACAATAACAAGTGAGCAGATTTAATCTCAATTTTTTTCGTCATTCCCTACATGAATTTGGACGCTAGGGGTTGGGTTACTGAAATGCTATCACCTTCTATAC